CCCTGTTAAGCGGATTATGACCGAAAAGTTTTCATGCTTTATACGTTACGTTACGAATGTGATACGTTCTCCTGGCTACAAATAAAAGGATCACATGCAAAACCGCATATTAATAAATCGACAAAGGGAAATCTGGTGGACAATCCCAATGTAAAGAAAACTCGGTGTTTCGAGTTGTAAACATTTTGACAAAAAAAAAACAACAAAAATTGGATATTTTGTTGTTTTTTGCCTCTTTTTCAAAAAAAAAATAGTTTTATTGTAATATAATTTATAAGCAAGAAAATATTATGTAATTTTTTTATTATTTTTCGACTTTAATTGAAAACTGTGGTAATTATTTTCTAATTTGTCAAGAAAATAGTAAAAACAAAACCTTTATAATTTATTTCTATCAACTTTTTACTAATTTCTGGATTAAATCTAAGTATTTTCAAATTGTTAGAGTTTATCTGGATTATAATTTTCTTATCCAGATAATCCAAAAAGTAAAGCACATAAAAGTCTTCAATATTTTAAGCTGAAATTATGTATGTTTCCAAGTATGATTTTAATATTCTATAAAAGTCAAAACACGAGAAACATTAGTTCCGAACTTAAGACGTGATGCATTTTCTTGAGTTATTGAATTGCCCGTAAATCCGCTTAATATTATTTAGGGGTCTCAAGCCCCGGCGCATCCACCATTAATATCGAACCGAGGAAAAACATTGTATTTCGATAGTTATAAATAAAGCTTAATGTTTCTCCATATGTTCATACCTGCCTTCTTTATGCTTTCTCTTCATATCCAGCAGAAACATGCCGGTATTTATGGGGCCATAAGGTCCGTATGCTCCGGACACATTACGCTCCAATCAAAGCCCATAAAGCAAACCCGAATTGGCCCATTGCGACAAGAATTATTATTATTTTTTCACCCTTCACAGTCAAATAAATAACAGACAAACAATGTTTTCAGGCCTGATAACTTCAGGAAAAAAAAAACAAAATTTTTCAAAACAAAACAAAAACTACTAGATTTTAAATCGCAGTAAATAATAAATAAGTGAGAGTTATCAATAGATAAATTCTCATCCGGTTTGAAGCGTTTACAGTTTTATATCATTGGAGGTGATGTAAAGAGTAGACGTGTTACAACGTTGTCGTCGTGTGTAGAAATTCGCAAGTTCTTTTTCCTGGTCGTGCAGACAACTTTATTCCGCTAATAAGATTGGACAATAAAATTCGATGAGGATTTGGGGGAGCTTCGCTTTTATATCTTATCGGATATCCACGGAATCAATATGTTTGTCCTTCCCCGTTTGCTTAGATCCACACGGAATCTCTATTTTATACCGAAAATAAGAAAGGAAGAAGGGAATCGAATAAAGAATAAAATAAGTAACGGACATATTTCAGCTGAATGTATGAATGTATTCGATTCGTCTATTGAATTTTGTTGCAATACGAAAGAGAGGAAGTGAATTAGCCTAGTGTTTCAATTATTCTCGGGACAAAATCTAATTTCCTCGGAAATTAAAAATAGTCACGTATTCTTGTATTTATTTATTTTTTGTTGTGTGTGTGTATATAATGTTCTTTTTGATGATTTATGTGGGGTTTTTTTAGTTTAAGGACGGAAATTACATGTGTCAGAAGGTTATGAGTGAGGTGGCTTTGGACGAGGAGGGAAAAAAGATGAGGTACATCATCGTTTGTTTCGCGAGTCGTATTTTGTTTCCTTGATTTTTGTACCTCCCACATTCAGGTTCATCCCCTTTTTCACTCTATTATCTGTAATAATCGATTCTCTGGAAGCAACCATTCTTCTCCCGCACAACAAAGAAGAGAAAAAATAACATTATTAGATTGTTACGATAAGATAAAAAGGGGATAAATTGGTCCGCATTACGGTTAGAACGGAATCGAACCATGGTTTATAAACAATTCGTCGACCCTTCGATCCAAACATCCCCTTTTTTTGTTGTCCTCATCCCTTCTCTATAAGTCCTTTGTTGTCCGAGAATATAATTACGTTATTAATGTTATTTTTTTCCATTAATCCACAATAATCACAAAAAAAACATAGTTATTTTCTCATCACCTGGATAAAACCATTTATATACATTAGCTCAAATATCTATATAACAAATTTAACGTCTATTTATATTTCCATCCTATATGTATAGATAGCATTATGATGAACTTTTGACAATGTTATTTGAAAGATGTCACTTTTTAATCAAAGATTACATACTTTCTGGTTGACATACTGAAGTATATGATGACCAAATTAAGTCATAGAATGAATATTTGATGATTTTACTGACTTTACTGTCAAATTTCTTTGAAATCACGTCTCTTTATATAAAAATTTATAAGTAATTAAACAAGAGTGTGTGATAGTATTTTCTGTATATTTTATTTCAATTCTCATAAAAATTAATAAGACTTTTTGTTTTTTCAAATTAACAGTCAATCTATAAAAGTTTTTATATTTTTTATAATTACATAGAGAATGGCCTATTATTACGCATCTTTTGATATAACAATTGTTACATAATGGTAATTACTGACTGAGAATTATAATATTTTTTTATTTTCTTCGCATCCTCACGTTTTATATTCGGTGAAGTAAAAAGTTCTGAGCGTTTCACACGATTTCCATGATTTTATCAACATTTTCGATGATTGGCCTACCAGAGCGTGTCCCATCTTCGAAGTCCATATTACCAGTATAGAAGCGTTGAAACCAACGTTTTGCTGTTACATTCGATATTGTATTGGCTCCACAAACAACACATTTTTTTTTTACTTTTCCCCTTGGTCGTAATGGTACTGAAGATCGTATGGAATTTTCTCTTTTTACTTCCATTTTGGAACACTCTAACACACAACTGTCAAAGAACTTTTTTTAAAGCGTTTTGTCGTCTTTAAGTCGCATTTAAGTCAATTTCTATATAATAAAAACATTCTTACAAGATTTTTAATAATTACTTATTACATAACATTCTCAATCATTTTACTTTATAACTAAGTAAAGTAATCTTAATTATTTACCTATTTTTTTTTTGCATATTTCAAAATTTCTCAATTTTGTCTTCACATTTTATTTGATTACGAAAAAAACTATATGAAACTATCAGTTAGATTATTGAAAAACAAAGTAAAGACAAAAATCATAGCTTTTCCAATGAGCATACTATTATAATTTGTAGTATTTACTACTATGCTCTAATCAAGTATCAAATGTGATTTATAAAATGTATTTGTAATTTAATTATTTATCTTAATACTATAAACTATGATAAATTTTTACTAAAATTATTGTCATTTCACTTCTTTAATGTATTCAATGAAAGAAACTAATTTAAGAATTTCAAAGTTATTGTATAAATCACAATAATAAATCTTTTTATCTATGCGTTGACCTAAAATTATGAAATACCCTTTTCTGCATTTACGACCCTCTTCACTCGACTGTATACTTCTTTTTACAGGTAGATTTCAGTGCACAAGTTTTATATGGATACGAGAGTTGAATGCAGTTTTTATATGCGATTCTCCTCGCACACGTGAAAGACGTTAATGATTCATTGTTCCATTATGCAATTTCGCCATAATTCACATTTTCTCCCCGTCGCAAAAATGTCTCTGAGTCTCGTTATCTCCGCGTCATAAAAATGATTGCGAGCGACAGCGAAATAACGTACGCACGTTTCAAATGGAATCCATACGTTTGCAATATTGCGCAAATTCTAAAGAAACAACATATTTTCACGTGGATGCACACTTTGAGTGAACAAGTTCAAAGACATTCTCCTTATTTTCTGCATATTATTCGTAGCTGAAATACTTGGATTGTTTCATCTTTTGTGAACCTATTCAAAATCATAGTTTTGTATACGAAACTTCGTTCATTTCTTTATATAACAATTTAAGAAAAGCTTTAATTAAACAAAAATATTTATGTTTTTAATATAGTTTAAAAATATAAATTAAATATACAAAAGTATACAAAAAAATAATTAAATACTGATTTTCTTTTTATGCTGGTGGAGTTTAAACTAGTGTTGCTGAACCGGGAAATCCCGGGAATTTTGTAAAAATATGTAGTCTCAATATTCGGGAAATATTGCTCGAGACTCAAGAAATTTCAAAATTGAAAATACCTGCAGACAGGTTTCTAAAGATAAAAAAAAATGTTAAAAAGTATTAATTGACCTAAATTAGAAGTTACCACTCATTTAAAAGTGACAGCTGAAGTAATTATAAACTTTTTCATGGCTAAAGTTAATAAAATCTATAATGATCTAAGAAGAGATAAATCACTATTAAATATGAATAACAGAAGGATAAACGAATTATGACTTTATTGAAATATCTACATAATCCAGAAACTTGTAAAGTTTGAAGAGAAATGTTTTCTGGTTATTCAAAATCATCCATTTTCTGAATGTTTAATGAAACGACATTTTAAATTTATCGAGTCCCGAGAATTCCCGGGAATGCCTTAAACAGTTGTCTCATGTCCCGGGAATCAAACCTTGTAACCTTATAGCCGATATGGACGAGCCTCCACTGACACGAATATAAGACACATGTAAGCTGTGTATATTACGTTAGCAACAAAAACAAAAGTTGTTTTAAATTAGTGAGAACTGTCATTTCTTGCAGAGTAATATTATTGTTTAAACGTTGTCATTGTTTAAAGATTAATGTTAATCTGCAATAAACAGTTAATTTATATTCAGAAATACCTCGAATATTGCTGTTTTGATCTGTGCGGATTTCCAAGACTATGTGAATAAATTCTGTTTATTTATTTACTATGTGTAAGATTAAGGTTAAAGTGACGTAATAAAGTGTGTACTCTTCGAATCTTTTGGGCAGGTAACATCCTTATATTTTTTTCTTGTAAGAGTTTTACGTTCATGAATGTCCTTTCTCGTATTTTTTTTTCTCTGTGTTTGTGTAAGAGTGAGACTATGATTCTGATCACGTATTTTGTATTCCAGAGCCTGATACCGAAATCGTCGGTGGTCCCGAGTTGTTCATCGATCGTGGAAGCACCATCAACCTCACCTGTGTGGTTCGGCACAGCCCTGAACCCCCGGCTTACATCTTCTGGAACCACAACGACGCGGTGAGTTCCAACAAATCCTCTCGAGCAAACCACTCCACCCAACATACCTAGCCTATCTTATCCATCCACCTCCCAGCAATCCATCCATACTTAATACATATAATGGTAATATTAATACAAACGAAACCCCGTACGTTCTCTTGCCATCACGCACTCTCACTTTCTCTCAATGTATATTTAACATGGGAATCCCCGCCCGTTCATTTCGTATTCCATGAATATATGAAGCGACCTGCGTCCTCCTAAATTTTATCGCTTTTCCACTTGCCGATTTACCTTGGGGTTTGCTTTTTATTTAAATATATTTCAAAAACGTGTTACGTCTTTGACAGTAATTTCATTTAATATTTATAAAAACAATGGTAAATATTATATAAAACTAACAATTTTACTAGGATTAAATCTGTTATGCAAATTAAATTGAGTCAAGTGAATGACTTCAAGTCGACTTTCTCAATAATTTCGAATAAAACATTAAATATTGAATATGCAAATTAATGCCAAGACCGCAGGATACAACTACGAATTAATACTATAATCGCTCTTACAGTTATCGCGCAATTTTCTGACAAATATTGGTAAATTAACGATTTACTCTATACCTAATATTAATGCATTAAACATTCAATGTGCAAATTAATGTTATAGAGTAAATCATAAATAAATTAATAATATAATTCGCAATATTTTCTTAAATTTTTCTTAAATTACTCAACAACAACCTTGGGGTTTGCTTTTTATTTAAATATATTTCAAAAACGTGTTACTTCTTTGACAGTAATTTCATTTAATATTTATAAGAACAATGGTAAAAATTATATAAAACTAACAATTTTACTAGGATTAAATCTGTTATGCAAATTAAATTGAGTCAAGTGAATGACTTCAAGTCGATTTTCTCAATAATTTCGAATAGAACATTAAATATTGAATATGCAAATTAATGCCAAGACCGTAGGATACAACTACGAATTAATACTATAATCGCTCTTACAGTTATCGCGCAATTTGCTGACAAATATTGGTAAATTAACGATTTACTCTATAACTAATATTAATACATTAAACATTCAATGTGCAAATTAATGTTATAGAGTAAATCATAAATAAATTAATAATATAATTCGCAATATTTTCTTAAATTTTTCTTAAATTACTCAACAACCACATTAGGTAATTTGATCAAAGAATATGTAAATTATAGACAAAAGTCTCACCTTTCCAAAGAGCCTACTATCAAATTAGTGCTGCCATCAATTCGTTTGCGACGAGCTGTCAAAAATGAGAAAGTTGAAACTGCACCATCTTCACTTTTTATTTAATTTCAGGAGAATCAAGCAAGCCAATTACATACTTTAAAATAAATCATCAAAAATTAACTAATAATTATGAAATGGGTTGAAAAATGTTAGCATTAATATTAGTTACTCAAAAAACTTTTTTATATTTGTTTATAGTATAAGAAGGTTTTAACAGTTACGCAATTTATTATGTAAGAAAAGTTAAGTTCCAACATTCTTGATTGACTGAAATCATAGATTCTATATGTACAGAGAAGGACTAAATAAATGATGGCTGTAACAGTATATCGACGTTTGAGGTACTGGATACTGTTGTCATCGTGCAGAAAATACAATAGACCGTGGGTATGGCAGGAGCAGACTACATCAACACTCGTAATGTATTCCATTCCATTCCAGACAGTTTAATTTAATTTTGCCAGAAAAATACTCCAAAAAAAAAAGAGAAAATAAAATATACAGCGCGATACATTTTTTTTTTGTTTGTTCGGAGGGATCAAAGAAAATATGGCGAGTTTGTGAAGATTAAAACGGTAAGAAGAAAAAAAAAATATAAATTCAACGCGAAAATCCAATGGAAAAATGGAGGTTAGGTGATGATAATTTTAATTAAAGAAACCCCTCATTAACATTACGAATCTGTGCGAGGGCGTTCTTATGTAGAGGGGAGAGAGAAAGCGCATTAACAAACGCCTCATTAATTAATGAATTAATTAATTAATTAAAAACACTTGCGCGCCTCATATATTCCGAAAATGTGCACCTGATTAGGTGGGTGCAAATTAAGAGAATAAAGTATTTTAGCACAATCATGTAATTTCATGAAAATAAATTATTTAATTAAAATGTTATAAAATATTTTATAAAACACTGAAATTTAATGGTTTGCTTTAGTGAAACAGTACATAAAGTTTTTACTTTATGTACTATTCCTCGTTGTTACGTTACACATTTTTTTTTAATGAATAGATAGAAATTATTTGTTAGGCACTTCGCGTTAAAAGCTCGGCTTTCGAGAATTAATTAAATCCCGAATAAAACTTTCCGTTTGGATCAGGAGATGTTCCTGTAGCATTTACTCTCTTCCTCTTCTCATTTTTTTTCCTCTCTCTCTCCTCCAGCTCGCACTTTTATTAACAAAGTTTCGTAATTCAATTGCGGAGCGGAAATATTAAAATATGTGCGCGGCTAAAATTGCGACCATTGGCTTAATTGAATTAGTAGAAGAGATGTTGTGAAAATGTCGCCGACAGAGCGACGCAATATTAATAGAAATCATAATGAGTGGTATTCGCAAATCGAATCTGCAACATCTCCCTCTCATCCTAATTCGTAGCCTTTGTGTTGCCATTCCTCCGTTTTCGCATTGGTAATTAAAACTTTGCGCAACAATGATTTCGCAGAAAATTCCACGCCGAAGACGAAATATAATTGTCGGTAAACCTTATTAGGGGCCTCGACTCCTTTAACCATCTGAAATATTCCCAGAGATTGGCTAATAACGAGCACAACAGGCTTTTCGAGCAGGGATTTGGTGGGTGAATCGGGTGGATTTGGTCTGGGAAGTTTTAAGTGATCCATCGGGCTAAAACCTCTCACTCTCTCACAGACGTTATGATAGCCTCCTCCTTAAAGTTTACTTATTAGAGGATCTTACATAACAAAACATAGTAAGGATGCGATAAAAATAGAGGACCGCGGCAAAGCTGATTACATAAACCCCGGGATAAACTAAATAGAGAATAGCGAAAGTGGATTTAATTAAGAATGAGAACAACAAGAGGAAAGAAAAAATACGAAGCAGCAACAAAAGAGACATTACCAAACTTTCAGCCAGTGAAATGGAAATAATTATGGGAGTCGGAGAATGGGAATATGGAGGAACGTACAAAAAAAAAATAGGAAGGAGAAGAACTGTTATTAAAAGTTTGCAAATGGTGTCCGAGATAATTGTTGTTGGATTGTGCGAGAGGATATTAAGTGCTTAAATGTTGGAAAATTGCTGGAGCAATTCGGCTTAATGGAATGCGGAAAATTAAAGGACATTTAGATAGGGATGGAGTTGGATTGAATTACCGTCTAAGCGTATGGCGATTTTATCCAATTTATATGACAAAGTGAAAGAAAGGTAAAAAAAAACATGTTTTTTGTTTCATTAGCAATTTTTATTTGAAAATTTAGTAATTAAATTGTTATTACGTAACCAAGGAAATATATTCTCAATAAAGTTTGACGTTCAATGACAAATTTCAAAATTGTTGAAAAGAAATTTGTTTGAAAGATAATTTGTTTGAATGGAATTTTGTTGTAAAAAAAAACTATTCCTTCGCATTTTCCTGTTAGGCAATTAAAAATTTAACATATCAAATATTTTATTTAAATTTATTAAAAATTTTGATGTATATTACCTTACATAGCTAAAATTAAAAAAATTATTATTTATTTTTTTTAAATACATTAAAATTAAGTTTCCTATAAATTTTTATTAAATTTCAGCAATATTTTCAATGAAAAATGTGGTAGTTTTTGGTAAAGTCGGGAAATTTTAAGCTTAAATCGTGTATGATCAATTTTTCATTAGAACATAAAAAATGACCTATACACAAGTGACAAGTATTACTTGATGCAGGTTTGTATTCACTTGGTGATTCTAATTGTAAAACAAATCATTTTTGTATACAATATAAAGAATACATTAAAATTCCAACAAGTATTTAGGTCTCTTTCATGTCTATATATAATTTAAATGTGCCGGTACCTATAAGTACCGCCAGACGACAAAGGGTTAAAAATACACACAAACAACTTGATGATATTGGTATTTCCATATACAATATTGTGCGTTAGGTTCGGGTAACTTAGTTTTGGATATATTTAAAAATACATTAATTGTTTTAACGAGACGTTTGAAATGAATTTCGCGTAAACTTTGAAATAATCTCTATGGAAAAAGTAGTAAATTTTTTAAACAATTTAATATTTACATAATTCATTAATAATATAATATAATTTATATATAATAACTGAATTACTATAATCTTAAAATATTTTCCCTTTCGTACAAATTTTCTTTCAAACAGAATTCCATTCGAAGAAATTATTTCTCGAACAATTTTCCTAGAACCTATACAAATATGAAGGTTAAATGGTTTTCAAATCAGCAGATTCTCTCCAGACCTTTTTCGGTTTTTCTTCAGCATCATCATTTCCAAATTTTAACCCAATGCAAAATATCCATAAAATATTTATTATAACATTATTTTTATATACTTTATAGTTCTTTAAGTTTTGACTGATCTATCAAGTGTAACTTAACCCTCTATTGCATACTATTCCCAAATGGGAACTTAACATAATATCTATATAATAAGATCTAATCATTGACATATTTGTAGAAGAAGAACCCCATCTTTGGGTTGGCCTCCCATAACGAGCATTTCGCTTAATGCTCAAAATGAATTGTAAGAAAAATGAGAAGAGAAGTCCCGGATTGCGCGCCTTCTACATCATTTTTAAAACTTGTGTACACATATTATGTGTATTTTTGAATATGTTTCACTATACGAGTAAAAAAAACCGGATATTTTGGAACGAATGAAATTCATTAGCTTTATATATTAGTACAAAGTTTTTGTTAATTAAATTTATTTAAATTAAATTCATGAAATAGTTAATAAAACAGCAATTATATAAATTGATTCAGAGAGACTTTGGTCTTTAGTTGATATATAATAACAGAATTCAGTGAGTGTTGTGGATTCTTTTGATATAAATTTTAAGGGATGGGGTAAAAATAAATAACAAATACACTTGAAAACAACATTTAGTTATGCATGCATATCACCAATTTTTCAAACTTTTTAAAGTTATCGAGTTCTATGCTTTTTTTAAAAGGATATTCAGATCGTCGAGGGTGAAGCAGATAAAGCGTTTATATTCAAATGCAATTTAAGTTCGCTTTTTTTTTGTTCCTCCATCGTCTAACAGTTACTCGCTCGCTTTATGTACCCGAGAGAAAATGTTATGTAATAACTTTGTTGGCATCTATTTCGTCCTTTTTTTTTTCTCATCAGAAGCCATCGCTCTTCTTTCTCATCGCTGTTGTTGTTCTTGTTGGTAAAGTTTTGATATTATTTTAATATTTTAATAAACACGATAAAAGCGTACATTGCGGCTTGCGGTCGTTGAATTTTTCAAAAGCGTTGAGTGCCGAAGATAAACATTCAAGGACGGACCGAAAGCAGAGAAAAGAAGGACCCTTCTGCAATTAGATGAAGCTCGGGATTGATTTTGAATGTTTCATGAACTTCTTTTTCCTTGTAATGTAGTAATCATTAAAGCCCTAATAATTAGCTATTTGTTCGCCACTAAAAGCCGCAAGCACATAAAAAATACAGTGGAAATAAAAACGCAACCCGAAAGAGAGAAGTAAAAGGAAAGCGATAACAACTGGCGAAGAATTAATGTACATGTGGATACGCACGCAGAGAGGAACGCAATTGGATATTTCACAAAGAAAAGTCAACGGCAAACAATGTAAAAGAGAAAGAAAAAAAAAAGAATAAATAAAACAACAACAACAAGGCGAGTTGGCATTCTGTAATTACTTTACATCCCGAAATTGCTTTGGCTTTTTCCCTGTCTCCCTTTTTTTCCCACTCAGTTTATCGTTATGGAAATTCGGTGTTCATTTCGTGCGCTTGATGTAAAGTAATAACGTGTTAAAAAGGAAACTTCCAAAGGCCATCCTCGAATGAAAATTGCATTCACTTTTCACTCACGACCGAATTAATCCAACAGCCTCAAAGTTTAATCATAGTTTAAGCAAACATTAAAAGCAGTCTAATTACAAAATGATATATCTAACATTTAACTTCATTATGACCACGCACAGACAGTAACAACAAAAAGAACATTACTATTTTTTCTTGATTAATTTACATTAGCGAGCGAAGCATTATAATAATGGGATTGTTACAGTAACAAATCTAGTTAAGGTGGCAGAAGACGTCTTACGCCACTCAGTCTGTGTACACGCCGTAATAAGTCTTAATATAATTGTAAAACCCAAGGCTGCGCTTCTTCCCCAAAACTTAATTAAGATCTATGTTTCAGACCGCGGCTATACACTGGTAATAATAATCCATTTCGTGGAGCTTTTAGTTTTTTTGTTACACCTTCTTCTTGTAGTTGTTTTTTCTTTTCTCTCCTTCCCTCTGGGCAATGATTCTTTCCTGTCCGTTCTCCGTCTTGTGGGATGCCCAGTTATTTAGCTGTTCGTGGACGACGGCTTTTAACGTAACATCCTCAAGAAACACACAAATTGTATTTACGTGAGATTTCCCAGGAAACGAAAACTCAGGCCACGCAACGGACATCTCATTTTGGTTACATGTTCACTCAAATATTAAAGAAATGTATGAAATCTCTGCAGGATTTTTTCTATAAAGCAATACTTGTCGAATTACTATAGAAAATTATAGAAATTGATAGTTTATATAATAAATTTAAGAATTTTACAACAATTTGTTTTATAGAAATTCTAGGCAAATTAATTAGACAACTTCAACAACTGAATCAACATGTTCAAAAGGTAGTACATTGCGTGTATCACCTCCAATCAAACAATTTGTAATAATTTTCAAAAGTTTTTACAGTTTTTAGTTTCATTTTTTTTTTCTGTAATTAATATAAAATTTAAATATTAACAAAAATAAACATAAAAACTCAGAGAATTTACAAATATTAGGTGAATGTATGTAATATTTATGTAATAGAAAGTTTTTTTTTTGTATTTAAATGAACAATTTGCAATAATTTTAAAAAGTATTTCAAATTTTACTTTCATTTTTTTTTTCTTTTCTGTAATTAATATAAAATTTGAATATTACAAAAAAATAAACGAAAATATACGAATATTAAGTGACTTTATGTAATATTTATTTAATAGTTTTTTTTTATTTAAATTAACATTTTGCTATAATTTTAAAAAGTATTTCAATTTTTAGTTTCATTTTTTTTTTTCTTAAACTACAATTATTATAAAATGACATCCTATATTTAAACCTTTAATATTAGGACAAAAATAAACATTCAAAGTCAGAATGTGTACGAAGATTAAGGGAATTTATAATGTGATAGATTAAGCTTAAAATATATGTTGAGAGAAATAATTAAACTCTGAAGCATTTCGCATAACTCATTACAATTTCGCTGGTTTTTATCAATTAGGTAATGTAGTCGTAATTTACGTTCAGTTCTCGCGAGATGGAGGCTATATAATACATATACTTATACATATATATATATAGAGAGAGAAATATGTAAAGAAAAAGAAGCAAAGAGAGATAGAGAAATGTATATAGAAATGATGCTAGCTCCCCGAAGTGTAATAAAGTTGGCTGGTACAAAAAGCTTTTGTTTATTGCTTAAATATTGTTTCCTTTCGTAGTCTGCTATGCTTCCTCCTTCCCCGAAAGTTAACTTTCAGCTTTAATTAGCGAATACCATAACTATCTATCATTATGGCAGCTAAAACCGCAAGAAATGAAAGAAAAAAAAAACTTTTAACATCTTCGTGTTTCAGACAAGGCAACATTAATTCATCAGCAAAAGTGCGCGTTTCCATATTTATTTTTTTATATATTATTTTCCATTTCTACTTACGTAATTTTAATAAATGGTGCAAAGTTTTACGCTGCACTCATTAATTCATCAAAGTCGTATCACCTATAAATCACTCTCAACTACATCGTTTAAAATTTTCTCCAAAAATTACATAGCAAATATCTTTATTTTACGTTGTATCTACTTTAACAAGCAGATTGAAAAAGCAGAAAATATTTTAGTTTTTTTTTTTGCTTTAGATATTCGAGGCACAATACAATCAGAGACCATTTATTTCGGTCCATTACCGCATTGTATCGGTTTGTCAGGATCTCTGTTGGTGGTCGTGCTTCTCTTCCTTTCCTCTTTCTTTGTAATATTTCCAATGGAGCTCCCCGTGTTTATGCCAACGAAGAAAAGGGATCTATTCTGAATCCTGTGTATTTGGATAACAAGGAGAAGGAAAAAAAACGAAAAAAGTCTGAGAATAATATCTAAACAACCCGCGGCGACGTGATCAAAGGGCGGTTTTCATTTAGGGCGAGGGCGCGAGATGCGCGCATTTTCTAGATTTGCTCATGTAAATGATTCCATTCTGAAACGTAAACGGCCTAGCCAAAAGGGTGGAAACAATGCTGAACATCGCCGAAATTGCGAGCGCCCTTCGCACGTTTCCTTTTTCCTCTTCCATATCGAGGTGTGTTATATATTGTATGTATATTGTATTGTACGTGTTTGGGTATGTATGGATAAAATATTCTAGAATCTTTTGAAATATACACACAAAGGGAGGAGTGTGCGTTGGTGGCAAAAAATAAACATATATGTGGGGGATTGTTGGAAGATGAATGAAAACGTGTTTTTGTTGGTGCGGCATGAACATTAGAGAATTGAAACTCGAGAATGGAGATCATCCAAAACAGGAGTTACAGCAGAAGTAGCAAGACCGACCGGTGTCAACGTACCTTTGTTTGTACTTCAACCTACGAAATACAAACGTTTTAGTCGTCATTCATCATATGAATTATATTAATAAGATGAAACAATTTTACCTAAATATGAAAAAAATTTAATGAAATTTTACTACATAATGGTTGAAATAATGTTTAATAAGTAAACTAACATTTTATTAAGACAACAAATAAAATGTTTTCATTAGTTCAAAACTTTAGATAAAATAAACATGAAAATGCTTCTTTATGTAGAAGAGAGTTGATGGCGTAAATGTAAGGTGGAAAGAAAAGAGAATGTCTGAGGTTGTAATTTTTGTTTTGGATTTGAGACGTTCAAGAACCGACGAGGTATATTAATTACATGCAATGTATTTGAAGCAATTAGCAGTTCGGCAAGTCTAAGAGAGAACAAAATGAATATGGATGTGGCCCTAAATAGGAGCACTTAATCACCCACCATTCAATTATGGGTTTATGTGGTATTTAGGTACGTTCGTTGTCCGAGTGTGGATGTGTATGTATATAGGTGTGTCTGTGTGTGTGTGCGTAAATGATGTCCTGTTGGCGGTGATAATAATCAATTAATCAATGAGTCGGACAACGTTGTAATCGACGACATCAGCATTTGGCCTGTATGTATGTTTAGGGGTTTGTGCACAGATTGCACTGGTGCACTGTGGCAACGGTAGGGCAGGGCGTGATCAATTGGTCAATAATAACAGTTCTGGTGTTGTTTCGGTCTGATTCCAGATAATAAGCTATTCCAGTTCCCGCGGGGGCGTCAGCGTGGCCACGGAAAGGGGTGAGACCAGCCGAAGTGTCCTGCTGATCCAGAAGGCCAGACCCTCCGATTCCGGCAATTACCAATGCAATCCTTCTAACGCCAGACCTGCCAACGTCACAGTTCACGTTCTAAACGGTTAGTACAAAATGAATACCTAATACATCTATATCCATCATCATCTTCATCAACAACATCATCAACCTTACCATACACAAAGGACACAACACCTCCCAACTTCTTTGCTTTTGCTGCTTCAATCTACCAAAATAAAGAATCTGATAAAGAAGGAGAGGAGTCACGGATGTAAAAAAAAAATATTGTATAGGGAACGACGACTGACGCGCTCTGTTGCTTCTTGCGCTCATTCATTTAGGAATTAATTAATTTTTAATTAAAATTAATAGCTGAGGGATTTACTTAACTTTATTAAAAAAAAATGGAGGGAGGAAAGGACGAAAATATGCAGGATGAGTAGGTACAATAAAGAAGTTTCGGGGGAGAGGGGTCACAGAAGAGAGGTGCTCGTTGCATTTCATCAATTAAATCTCTCCAGAGGGAAACAGTCTGATTAATAACAACGAAAGAATGAGAGAGAGAAAAAAAAATGTACTTTCTCGTGCCTGATATAAAATTTATTAATTAATTTTAATTGTAACCTCAACTTTACAAATTAAAGAAAAAAGTATTACGTAAAACACTTATTATAAATATATAAATTAGTCATGAAAATAAAGAAGTACTTAGAAATATTAAATATTTTTGATGTTTAATATCTTTTATTAACACTATGACATAAAACTACTTGTCCCAGAATAATGACTTTTCGAAATGATAGTAAAAGAAACAAATAGATATGCAGCAAAGAAAGTAGTTTTTAGTAGTATTTTTCTTGAAATATTTACTAATTGAATGCTAAAGGAACTGTACAAAATCGAAATACATTTGTTTCGTTACATAACTTATATTTTATTCGTATGTTAAAGGGTTAAATAAAAAAATCTAAATACAAGAGATTTTTTCTATCATAAAAAATAATATGTTTGCTCTTAAAATGCTTCAAAATACATCAAGGACGTTAGTTTTACACAGAAAAAGATGAAAATATGTGTATTTAATTAAATATGTATTATATAATTTAATTCTAATTTATTAAATTTTCTTTTCCTAAAAGTATTTTTCTATATTATATGTAAATAAATTGATTAATTGCTGCAAAATGTGAAAAAAAAGTATATTGACAAAGTTTAAATCCATAAGATATTTTATGAAAAGGGTGTATGTTCATCAGCGAACAGATATACATTAGTAACTTTGCCTACATGGAAATCCGGATTTATGCGTTTTAATGAAAAAAACACACACGTACACATCGCCGTCGTCGTCCCTCGGATAAATGAAATACGGCCCTTTTGACAATCATAATCACGTGTCGTATTTTTCATACCGGAACTTTCCGCCAAAGAAGCTTCGCGCAAAAATAACGTTAGCAAAAAAAAACACCCCTTCAATTTGCAGAATGACAGAATCGATACGGCTTAACGCCCTTTTTGAAATATTGCTCAATAAATTAAAACCAAGAGTAAAATATAAACAAGTACATAATTTGATAATAATAAATTTTATATTGGTTATCTAATTACTAATTAAAAGGATGAATAAACAAAATAAATTACATTTTAAGTTAGTTTAAGTTTTGGGATCTTCAGGTCACAAATAATGAATAAAAAAGAAAGAATCAGTGCTGTGTTACGCATGTCTTCCTGATTCCTGCAAGGTGCACAGATTTTTTTTTTCGTGGACGTTCGAGGAAGGGAAAAAATGGAAGTGGCCCATTCATCTTCGAGATTGCTATCGGAACAGATATGCCCCATTCATCAAAAGAGATACACATTCGAACTGGATCGCACGGGATGAATACATGAATACATCGCGCATTTCGGAACCAAACTGAGGGATTTAGAGCAGGATAACGTTTGCCTTGTGTTAATTGAAGACAAGGGAAACTGACGAGAGAGAGAGAGAGAGAGAGAAAAAAAATAGTGAAGGCCGTAGGAAACAACTATTCACCGATGTGTGGAATCGCTTCCAAAGATACATTCATATAGCAGGATTCCTGCACGTCGCACATACATACATGAATGGATCATGCTTCCGGTTCAGAACTTGGATTTAACCGTGTTTACCGTGAAGAAACAATGCTATTTATTAAAGAGATTTCCTGTACGATGCAAAAAAATATTTACTATATCTCTGTTTGAAAACGTCTAGTTAACAAGTAGTAATTCTCATGAAAACAAATGAACAATACCCAATAATATACTTAATGAAATCCCGACAATCAAAATTTCGACATTCGAAATCCCGACAGTATTAAAATCTCTTTCATTTGTTTATAAGAAATTAATAAGAATAAATTAATGTTAATTTAGAATATTTCTTAATTTTAACTGTCGAGATTTTGATAATGTCGGTATTTCTAATGTCGGGATTTCGATATAGACCCACTTAAATAAGTTTCTAAATTATATATTAACAAGTTCCATTAGCAACAACATTAATTAACTTCAAATTATTTCAAAGTTTATTCGAATAATTCCCAATATTCGAATACTTAATTACTACTATGTAATTAAGTTTCAAGACTATTACTTAAGTTCCAAAGCAACAATATTAATATACTTGTTTCCAAATCATTCCAAAGTTAAGTTTATTATAACTGAATTAATAAAGTTAAGTTTAAAATATGTGAAAAAAAAGTCAATAAATGTACACTTTATTCGAATAATACCGAATATTCATATACTTAATTACTACAATTTAATTAAGTTTCAAGACAATACTATTATTTAAGTTCCAAACAACAATATTCATTATTATACTTATTTCCAAATCATTCCAAAGTTTAAATTGTATTAATAAAGTTAAGTAAAAATATGTGAATAAATAAAATATCCAAGGCTGAAACATATTGATTAATACAGAATGGAGGCAATAAATGAAAAAACAAACTTGAAGGAAAATAGAAGCGTAGCAGAAAAACAATAACTGGTTATTACTGAAACAACTCTATTGATTTTCCTTCTGCTATTCGTGTTTGTTTATTTTAATTTTATTGTCGAATTCTGATAGCTTACATCTCCGTTTTCTATTATTATTTTACGTTGTTTCTTCATATTTTTCCACCCTTTGCCTTCTGCAATAGGAAATTGCGCTTTTATTTCACTGATTTGTCCCAGTCACGAAAATATATTTACGAGCACGCACGCATTTCCACTTTTGTGTTCCAATTTTGTTTTTATTATTTACTATAAACTACACAACCACACATTTACATGTTCTCATAGATCAATCATTGAAGATGATCATATAGGAATTTAATCATTAAGATGATTGATTGTAATGATCAAATTCCTAAATGAATCCACGAATGAAATATTGCTGTTGCTCCTGCTGTGAGATGAATTTAATTTTTGTTCAAATAAAAAAGTTGCAAATGTTATAGGAGAGCACCCGGAGGCGATGCAGCACGGAGGGAACCAACGCATGGGTTCGACTGTAAATGTATTCGCTTTACTAACCATCCTTCTGTTGAACTCTTACTGTTAGTCAACTCAACTGAACACAACTCCCCTACTGTACGATTTATTTACAACCAGTCCCATTGTAATAATCTCTGTTATCATTGCTCTCTCTCCTCCACGTGTTTCGGTTTCGTTACCCCCAAGTGAAACGATGAGGATGAAGATGAAGAAGACGAAGAGGAAGAAAGTATATTTAGTCGTTTGCTGATGATTCTACGTTTCTGTTTATTGTACATTTTTCGTTGTATCCTTTATGAAAATGTCGACAAGGTATTCTCGAATGCTGTGTAAAAAAAAGAAGCGAAGGAAAGAATGAAAGTCGTAATACTACTAAATACTAATAATAAATAATAATCTAAAAATTTATTCACATCAAATAATTCACACAAATGATTCACACTCTCTGTTAGGTAAAAAAAAATGGATTATAAAAAAAAACATGATATGAATATGATATTTATTAACAGCAATTACGTATATTGTGGATGTGGCTATTATTGTTTGTACTACTTCTTAATCTAATTAGGATTAACGGTAATCTAGACGAGAAAACCCCGTCTCTTTCTCTATCTCAAAAATCACACTACTTATCTCATAATTTGTAAAACAAATTGTATTACTTTCCTTATGATTTTCGAGAAATAAACAATGTGAACGTAATTTTTTCTCCGTATGTTTAAAAAAATAAAACAGTTTTTCTCACATATACAAGAATTATATATATATAACAGAACACACACGCATTTTAACCCAAAAACTCTATGGATGTCATCTTCAAAGGAAACGTAGTTAACTTATTGTATATATAATAATGATAATGATATAAAAAACATAATAATTATAATAATAACGATAATGATAATATAATGATATATTAATAAATACATTAATTAAATGGCAAATTGAGAGAAAGAAATATATTCAATGAGAAGTAAAAAAAAGTAAATAAAAATAAAAGAGGAAATCATTTCTGTAGTTTTTAAGGAAAAAAAATAAGGGAAAAAAAATAATATATATATTGTTGATTTATTTTCTTAAGTTCTTGGACACGATTTATGTATAAAAAAAAAACAAGTGAATAAGATTCCGAGAGCGACACTAACTAATTTTAATAAACCAATAAAGTGAAAGAAAAAAAACAATAAATTACTTGTGTTTTTATTGATTCCTTAATCACAAAATCCTTTGTAATCCTTTATTTAATCCTTACATGTTTCTTTCAGATTAAATATAGTTATTGATTTTTACTCATGAGATAATATACTGTAAAGTAATCGAAGTAATTTGAAGAAAAACTATATTTCTTAAACATGTTTCTATGATTCTTTGATTCATTGAATCTTGTTTTTAAATTTGACATTTAGTTCTGCCAGATTTCATCTGCCAAGAACATTTTTAGAAGAACAGAAATTCCAAAGGAAATAATCACTAATCCGATATTTTTGTTTGTTACAAGATGTATTATTTCTCTATGTTTGTTTTCTAGTACAATACAAAGCATTGAATTTTGTTTTCAAATTATACGTTCAGATCAAAATTAATTCTGCTAGTTTTCATATTTCCATAGTTAATTCTTATAGAAAGTTCAGAAACTAATGTTTAATGTAAATTTAAATTCTAAAGTAACAAAAATTAACGACATTTCAGAAAAAAATCTAACATATATTGTCATAATTATTGAAGTTTGTTTGTAAATTTGACATTTAGTTCTGCCAGATTTCATCTGCCAAGAACATTTTTAGAAGAACAGAAATTCCAAAGGAAATAATCACTAATCCGATATTTTTGTTTGTTACAAGATGTATTATTTCTCTATGTTTGTTTTCTAGTACAATACAAAGCATTGAAATTTGCTTTCAAATTATACGATCAGATCAAAATTAATTCTGCTAGTTTTCATATTTCCATAGTTAATTCTTGTAGAAAATTCAGAAACTAATGTTTAATGTAAATTTAGATTCTAAAGTATAAAGTAACAAAAATTAAAGACATTTCAAAGAAAAATCTGACATATATTGTCATAATTATTGAAGTTTATTTTTAAATTTGACATTTAGTTCATCTGTCAAGAACATTTTTTAGAAGAACAGAAATTTCAAAGGAAATAATCACTAATCCGATATTTTTTTTGTTACAAGATGTATTATTTCTCTATGTTTGTTTTCTACTACAATACAAAGCATTGAATTTTAGGTATAAATTAGACGTTTCCTTCTGCTAGTTTGTACAGATTGAATTTTGTTTTTAAATTTGAAGTTAGTTCTGCTAGGTTTTATCTAAAATCAACATTTTTGAAAATACAAATATTTCAAAGGAAATAATCATTAATCCGGTAGTTTTTTGTTACAAATATTGATTCATTCTCCTAGTTTCCATAGTCAACTTGATCCTTAAATCTCTAATCCAAATTTTTTGGAAAGGTAAGTGTTTCCACCACGAGATCAAATAAACAGTAATTATTTTCAAGCTTTTTGTTTCCCAGTGATTCCGCAGTGGAACCACATACTTTTTTCAAATACTAAACAAAAATAGAAATTTTTTATTGTATTACATAATTTCGTAAAGAATTACAAATTTCTAACCTAATTTTACCATAAAATCGACAGTTTAGACAAAATTAAGTTGTACCAAAAAGGGTTTACCTTAAGAAACAGATTCAAAGAATAATATTTAAATCTGACATTTGTTATTGTCAAATGCATCATTCTTCTATGATTATTTGAAATATTGAATTTGTATTTTAAATTTGACGGTTAGATCCAAATTTCATGTTTTCATTGTCAACTTGATCCTTAAATGTAATAATCTATAAACCAAATTTATTGGAAATTGCATATATTTAATATTATTTCCAAGCTTTTTGTTTCCCGGTGATTCCGCAGTGGAACCACATGTTTTTTTCAAATACTAAACAAAAATAGAAAAATTTGATTGTATTACACAATTTCGTAAAGAATTACAAACTTTTAAACTAAATTAAACCAAAAAAATCGACAGTTTTGACAAAATTTAATTGTACCAGAAAGGGTTTACTTTAAGAAACAAAATTCAAAGTATAATATTTAAATCTGACATTTGTTATTGTCAAATGCATCATTCTTCTATGATTATTTGTCTTTATTATATTCAGATTGAATTTTGTTTCTAAATTTGACTTTTAGTCTACTAGTTTTCCAGTTTTCTTTTTTTTTAGTCTATTTAATTTATAAAAATACTTATATTTAAAGCTATGATTAAAACTTTGAAAATCCTTTCCAATTCCTAAATTCGCTTAGAAGCAAGAACAATCCAACTTCGACACTTTTCCGAAACTTGCAAAATCTCCGGCTTCAATATTTATACTTAATACCGCAATATAGAGAGGAGATAACATTACCTCAATTCCAGCAAGTTCGACCATACGAAGTTATGTAATAACACAACAGTTTGAACTGATCCCATCGTTATTAATCCCAGTTTACGTGCCTCGAGCATCGAGAGTTACAAGTGCAAAACGATACAAACAAATCGACGAACAAAAAAGAAGGTAAGACAAAATTTATGATAACAACAAAAATAAAAGAAAACTCAATCATATTTATAATATATAATATATTTACTCTCTCAATTATCATATAATATATATAATTTATTTACTTTTTTTCATCAATCTTTTAAATTTTATATACAAATTTCGCTAGCGTGACACGATACAAAATAGACATATTATTTATTTTTTTTTGTTATTAATAATTATATTATTATATTTTTCTTTCTCGTTTTTAATAAGAGTGGAAACAAAATATATAGAGATACGACAACAAATATACTTTCCATAAACATAATAATAATAGGTATGTACAAAAACAAAATAATAACGTAAGGCGCGTAAAAAAATGAAAGAGAAAATCGATTAGCTTTGTTTTTTCTTCTTCTTCTTTCAAAAAAAAAATAATAACCTTAACTGTAAATTAATGCAATTCTTATTAAATAATTAAAACGTAAAAAATAAAACGAATCGAGTTTTCCTCTCATTTTGTTTTGTTTTTTTTTTTCGCGGGAAATGCAATTCCCTTTTCTCAATTTATATAATATATATATATTTATTTATTTCTTTTTTTCATTTGCTTTATAGATAAATTATCTCTGATATGTAAAAATACAACTTACATATACAAACTATATACAAATTCAAATAAAAGAATGTTAATTAACGATAATTATTGACTTAGATTCCATCATTTCCACAAACATTAAAAAAAAACATAAATTTCTATACAATACAATATTTATATTTTATATATTTAATTCGAGTGTTGCTTTCTTATTCTTCTCTTATTTTTTTTTTAAATACAATGTTGTTTAGGCTTCTTTCGAATCGGTTCACTATTTTCATGTGTGTTAATATGGCACGTAATAAGTAGAGTTAAGAAACTTGGTTTCGTCTTGGAAAACGATTTATCTAGTCAATTTCTTCTTTTTTCACAATTATATTTTCATCTTATAATAAATATTTCAAGGCACTCTCTTTCAGGTCCGAACCAGTGTGTAATTCTGTGTGTAATTATATAATAAATACTCCTAACGACCGGCTCTACAAAACAACTAGACACAATAAAAAATAAATGTAAATACACATATGTTAGATAAATATATATACACGTTATTAAATCGGCTCCTCGGATTTGCGGTTTAAAATACACATGCTTTTGCGTTCTTCGTACAATTATTATTATTATTATTCTCGCCGTCCCGTTTTAACAACTTCTTCACAAGCCTTTCTCTCTTTTTACAGATTTCGTAAAAATTACTTTTCTTTATACATATTATACAATTCGTTTAAGTGTTTTTGTGTGTAAAATTGAAATGCGAAACATTTCTGCCCAACGAATGAAATCGTCAATTTAAAAGAAACTCGCGCATTTTCCTCTTCCTCAAACAACCTCGGACAGGTGAGGAAGTTTTTGCAAGTAGCACCAGAACTAAATATTTATATAAAATAAAAACAAGAAGTGTAAAAGAAAAGGAGCAAACGAAATGCAATGTTTGCATGTAACGTTATTCGTAATAATAGACAACTTGAGATTTACCTAGTTCTACATAAGATGATACCCAACGATAAGGAGTAGTCCGATATCTCCGGCACCGCGACTTTCAATAAACAGAGAAAAAAAACAAACCAACGACGGCACTTCTTCATCGCTTTCACACAAGTCTCATTCCGTCTTCTGTTTGCAGTAGAGCTCCTTCAGCGATTTCAGCTCGTCTATCAGGGCTTTGTTCTGGTTTTCGAGCACGGCCACCCTGTTCTCCAAGCACTTAATGTACTCCTTCTTCTTCCTTCGACATTCCCTTGCGGCCTCTCTATTCTTCAGTAGTCTCATCTCCCGTTTCCGAGCTTGATCTTCGCCGCCGCCGGAAGTTATGTTCCCGCTCTGCGCCATCACTGGAACCATACGAAGCGAATTAAACACCAACTTTCGCTATAGTTACACAACGTCGCTCACACATAGACACCGAAAAAAAAAATACATATCTTAAGTCAACAACTCTTGACACGAACAAATGTTATTGGTTTCCTTGGAAACCAGCCACCTGCGATTCAATTGCTGCAATTTACCTGGGACAAAGAATTCCTGGCCTTGGGCGTACTGCACTATCGCAGCCCCCGCGGTCCCGGAATTCGTCATCGAGAGTGTGTGTATGCTTTGGCCGCCTTCGCCGCTCGAAATCTGTATGGCGCCTGCAGGTATCACTGGAACAATCGAAAGATCATTGATATAATCCGAAGACAAGCTTGATATTTTCATATCAGAGCTGCTTTAATCATTTTTTTTATACGACGTTTCTGGTATGTTAATTACGCATTTTTTTCTGCAACCACCCCAAAAAGTAAACACAACCCGCAAGCTACCTGCAAGATTAATCGAGACTTAAGTGATAGAAGATAGACTGACTGAAAAAAGGTTGATGTTAATTCGTGACACGATTTTGCTTGATTAGTGGTGGATTAGTTTTGCTTGAGACTCGTGGATTTCGTAGCTTTTGTTAATTTACTAACATTTTCGGTGCAATTATAATATTGTTATTAGTATTTACTTTACATATTTTTCTCTTTTCTTTCAATTATTTTCCTCAAACTTTCAAAAAAAAATTATTATATTCAATTAGTTTTTCTTGAGACCCGTGCATTTCTGGTTTTCTGCATTTGTTTAATTTACTACCATATTCGCTGCAATTATAATATTGTTATTAGTATCAAAAATAATTTACTGTATAAATTTTTGTCTTTTCTTTCAAATATTTTCCACAATTTTCAAATAATTTTAATTCTATTCAATTAGTTTTTCTTGAGACTCGTGGATTTCGTAGCATTTGTTAATTTACTAACATTTTCGATACAATTATTAGTTTCTTTCAATTATTTTCCTCAATCTTTCAAAAAACTTGAATTGTCAAAATACATCCTTTGTAAATGTTTTGAATTGTATTCATAAATAATACTTAGTTGTACAATTGACTAAAACCCATTGAAGGCGAATCAGAAGACTAGCTGTTAGTGCACAACAATATAAATAAATAAAAAAGTACATCATTCAAAAACACTAAACTCTACGAGTATAGGTTCTAAACTACTGAGTAAGAACAAATGCATTAAGAAAAGACAAATAATTGTAAGCGAAACTGACCTGTGTGGTATGGGATAGAGTGAGACGATAACTCACTGTCCGCCTCGGAGGAAGTCTGCTCGACTTTAGGTTCTGTGAACACCACAATCTGCATTATATCCAACTGCGCCACTCTCTAAACCCGCCAAAAAAGCCAAAAAAATAATAATTACAGAGAAAAAAAAAAGAATAGTAGAAAACTCGATTATTTTTTTAAAATTTAAATCAAAATTTCCGAAATTCCTTATATGCGCTCTCCTATTGACAAATCCCATACCACAGCGAATCTCGTAAATTCACGTTCCTTAAAATCATTTAATTAAAGTGTATTTGTGTGTGTGTTGTGTAATTTTGTTTTCATGCAAAAAAGAAAACTCTTATATTCGAACATGCAGAAGAAAACCCATAAGCGAGTGAAAAATAAAAGAAGATGAGAAAGAGAGATAAATTGATAACTGAGTACACTACCTTGGAACAGATCTAATGAGGACTATTTTTTTTTTTCTGGTTCAAAAAAAAAAGAGTAAATCTGGATCTAACTCTGGTATCAATCAAACAAAGCCACCGAAAGAGCATGCAGTAAATAACATACCAGCTATCTCACCCCCTCCAAGATCGTTGAGTATTTTCCTATAAGAAGGTCTTCTCGTCAGCAGATCCCTCCGCTTCTTCGGCGACTCATCATCCGAATAACTGTCATCACTCGCCGTCGTCTCGACCACCTTTAGGATAATAATATTGATATCAATGGAATTCGTTTGAATGATTTTATAAGATGTAAATTAAAGTGCAATTAGTTAACGAGCTTATCTAGGTAGCAGAAGATCGCTGAATCCTCTTATCCTCTCCAGAAACAATGTGGAACCAAGAATGTTTTCGGTAGGCAATTCAGCAAGAACTACTTTTCTTTAATGAAACAGCGCTCACAAATTATAATTAACACTCAATAGAGAAAGAAAAAAGAAATTACATTAATTACCTGTAACGCGTGCAAACTTCCTTGAGGCGTTTGGATGACAGAGTTGGGTTTGCTGACGAGTATCACGTTTCCTTTTCCTAACACTGGTTGTATATTCGCTGCTGTTTGTATCACCGATTGCTGGTTGGGCTGTATAACGGATTGCACCTGGAAATTCATTTTAAACATCATTGGTAATTATTTAAACATTATTTCATTTGGTTCGAATTTCTTTTGGAGTTATGCCCTCGAACAGGTGGGTAACCCTACCTGCGTCTGGGCATGGTTGTTAGATGCTGGCAAAGTTAGGTGCACTATGTTAGTAGATGCGACCAATTGTTGCTGAGTTACAACTCCTACCGAAGAGATTGCCACCGGCGGTGGCGATGGGGCTAGAGGATCAACTGTCCCGTTTTCGTCCACCATTCCATCCATCTCCTAACTGAACACCCACCTACAAAGAAACAACAACAAATATCATTAGAAAGAATCTAATAACATTTATATCATTTGTTGATAATTCCAAATGTATTTAACATTAATTTAAGTTATATGCAAATATAATGTTTAATATTTAAGTTTTAACAAATTATTGTGATCTTTGTAAATGTTCAATTCCAACTTAACATTTAAGAAAATATAATTACACTGTTAACAAATAAGTAACTAAAATGTTAACATTAATTTAACATTAAAATTCATTGCAAATGTACTGTTTCGTTTGTGCGCTTTAATATCTAATGTTTAACATATTAAGTTTAAACACGACAATTATTGCGGTACATTAAATCTTGCATTTTGATATCTTCGAAGCTCTCTCAAAGCGGATGCTTCAAGCGATAATGACAAAGTAATGGATTTTTAATGACACAAGATCCACATTACAGTAGTTCTATCCAAATTCTAATGCACCTAACGTAACTTTCGGCCAACAACCATAGTTTTTAATTGAAACATAAATATATTAATTCTTTATAATTTGTATAAAAAAAAACATTTTGTAGAGATATTGTATCACTTCGTTAATGTAAATGTGTTAAGCACATCATCAAACAGATCATATTTTCCTTTCACATATGGTTGACTTATTTCAGTTGAAAGCATAGTATATTTATATTTTTTAGCTTTAAGTCTTAAATTATTCTCTACCGTAAAATTAAATTTAAGAAGTAAAAGTATTTAATTTTATATATAATTAAAAATATTTTTTAAAACTTTCGTCTCAAATTGTACAATAATTTATTTATACAGGTATCTCTCGAGTTACGAACTCCCAAACTTACAAACAAATTTTCTTGTTACAAGGAAATTATAGTATTAAATAAAAATTAACTGTCCAAACAATTGATAATTTCTTTAATAAAATATAATATTTTTGGAAGATCTACTATCTGTTTTGTTCTATCTTTTGTCGTTTTTTATTAAATAATTGTGATGTCTACATTGAAAAGTATTTGTAAGTAAGTATTTTGTTTATTTTAATCTATTTTTTCAAATTTTTGCACTCAGTAATACGGAATTTAACATATATAAAAAGTAAAAACCATGATAAAGCGTGGTAAGATAAATATATTTTGAAATTTTTAAAATTCCCCCGACTTACGAACAACCCTTTGGAACGGAACTAGTTCGTAAGTCGGGGAATACTTGTAATATATTCAGCGACGAAATGATTAAGTATCATAGTTTATGCAGAGAAATACTTGATAATATAGCAAAATGCATTGACGTCATGTGAATTCATTTTTAAACAGATTATTTCAATAATTTAAATATTTAACTGATTATAGTTGTTTTTTTCTCTTTATGTAACATTGTTTATATCTTATGTAATGCAATTAAACATATATAGTATAGAAATTATAGAAAATTGGTATCATTAAAATGGCAAATAATTTAAATTAGCTAGTATTTATGTAATTAAAAACACATCAGTTTCAAACTCGTTCTTATTTATAAAATAAAATTTAGGATTTTAAATTCTTGCATTATATAACAAATTAACGCCAGTTTAATACAATTATTGTAGTAACTTACAAATAAATGTTTAGTTAAAGATATAAGCACGTTTCATTATTTCATAATTTAGTGCAAGTTACAATTATCTTCACCATTCGAAAGAATTTTTACCAAATATAGAGTATAAAAAAAACATTTGAATTACCATTAGTATTCTGAGCATAAACGTGCCAAATAGATCTTATACTTTTTACAAGTATTCTAATATAAAACTGTATTCATTTTATATAACTGAATACCTATTATTATGATTTTCAGCTTCGACAAAATTGTTAATGTGCAATCATTAACTATGATAAAAAAAGGTAGTTTTTTCTTTATAATTATTTTCTTTAAATTTATCAAGTAAACAAAAAATAATTATTTTAATTATAATTATTATGGAAGAATATTGTACTTAATCATAAGCACAATTATATAACTAAGGAATCATTAATTAATTAAGATGTGGTAATATTTTGAAATTTGAACGCAGATGTACGTTTGGTTGCATACCTCGATAAGTAATCTCAACTTTAGACTGAAGTTAAAGCTAATTTAGAAGCATATTTAAAACGCAATAAGCACCTTGCTGTAGAATAAGAGCCAAAAAACATTGTATATTATCTATTATTTCATAAGTATCATGATAAGAAGAATATGGTTAATCTCTTTTACTGCCTGATTTACTGCTGGAGGCGTTTTATGTAAGAAACGTTAATTCGCTAAGTTATGTATATATGCATACACTTATTTATATAAGTATGTGTGTATTTCTATTGTTTACATTTTGACGGTAAACAAATCGCTGCAGCCGTTCCTATGGAATTTGTTTGTTATTATGTAACTAATTTTGTTTTGTTTTCTTGTAACAGTTCTTCGGTTGTTGTTGTTGTTGCCTGACAGTGGACCTAACCAACAAAATTGATGGGGGGCTGCGTTCGGAGTCCGTTGCAATATCGAAAAGCCCAGTTTCTAAATGTAAAGCGAAAGAGAGAAGGGTGGAAGACGCTTCATGCATTTTGTAAGTAAGTGTATTGTATTCGTGTTATGTGTGTGTGTATATATAATGTGACGCCATATTCCAAAATATACCTTTTGTAGAGTTGCGAGTGGTAGGCGAGACATGTCCGTCGAGTATGCGGCCCGGAGGATAAGAGCATCTCGCCGTCGAAGAAGACGGCCGCCAGGAAGCGGCGATGATGGTGAAGAGGATCGGAGGTGGTCGTTTAGTTTGGTATGTGTGTTTGGATGTATGTGTGAACGAGTGGTGGATGTGTGTGTGGTGTCTGGTGTGGTCCATGACAGATTGTTATTATTCTTCGGCTGAACACTTACCAAGTTACGTGTATTCCTCGTCACCAGCTTGCTGCAACCGGACTGGGTAAGAGGGCTATACGTAGTAGCCACGTCAAATTTTCTGGGCGGTTCGTCACTGGATCACGGAGCAACTAACAAAGTGTGCGCGTCACAGCAATGGCCGCCCCGACTCCTCTACGCGCGCTTCGATAACAATCGTTCACAACACACTACGCATGCTGTCCACTCTACAGCGGATCCTCTCAACCTTCTCTTCTCCTCTACTTGCCTGCATTTTCCTGTCTGCTTCTCTTCTACCCGCCAAAATATCAAAGACAAAAAAAAGAAGGAGCAAGGACGTATCTGTCCCGCAATCCCGCACCTGTTCCACTACTAAATACTTTCCCTTCATTGCAAATACCACAGCCATCAGCTTTTACTTAGTTTCTTTTATTATGGCCCTATTTCTCCACACAATTGAAGCTTATTGCACCTTATTATGAACTTCTTTTCTGAATTTTAACAACAGCAATAAAATTTCTTTTGTATCATTCAAAAAAGTTATCACCTTCTACATTTTATAACTTTCAGCGTTCATAATTTACCTGTTTAAAAACACACATTTTCAGCATGAAAATTGATAAATACGTACATTTTTATTATTTTATTAACAACATTAGAAATTATTTTCTATCGTCTAAAAAAAAGTTGGCCTTATTTTATAAATTTCAATTTTCATAATTCGCATGTTTAATTTCAAAAAGATTTTTTAGAAATTATTACGTCTTAAAACTAACATTTTTTTTGGAAAGCAACAAAATGATTAGAAAAATTCCAATTTTACGATTTATCAATTGAATGTTCTAATTAGATTATAAAACATTTAATTTCTTCTCAATTCATAAGACTTGTCTATACGTTGAAAACATGTTCTGGAAATTCCGGAACGAATAGTTTTCCTTTTCGTTTTCTCAATGCATTTGCAAAACGAAAGCGTTCGCTTTCGAAATGTTGGATCATTTCCAACCAAACATTCCAACGAAGAAATGATAAACATGGCCCGCTCCGCTCGCAAAATGACACAAAACTTATTTTCAATAGATTATCCGTGTACCGTGTCAATAAAAATAGCCGATTTTATTTTCAGATTCCCCTGCAGCCACTGAAAGAAGTAAATTAATGTCAGCGCGCGCGCGGGGTGAACGTTCAAGGCGATAGATGATATTTCAGTAAGTTATTTATTAGACAAATTAATCAATTTTCAACTGATTAAATCCACACAATATCATAATATTTATTTAAACAGTTAAACATAAATAAAATAATTAAAACTTATATAATTAATCATAACAAAAGTTAAAAAAAAAACTAAACTTAATGTCATATATAAAAATATGTTGGTTACAGTAATTTATAGAATGTGTTGTATTTGAAACGTACATTCCAAAAGCAAATTGTTGGCAATATTATGATCATTCACAGCTTATTTCATATTCGCAACGGAAGCAAATGATAAGAGAATGGCGCTTTGTTAATATTCAATATCGTCGTACATTTCCATGAAGTTAATTACAGAAACCACTTAAATGGAAATAGCTTTGTAATTAACTCATTTCCAATTGCGATGCAGTATCGACTGGTTAGATCTAAGGATAATTTGTATTTCTCGGTATTTCATAAAATTAGGAGTCAATACAACAGCATTATTAATTTTAAAGTGGATTTCGCGAAATGAAAATATCATTTCGCGAGTGCTAATTGCAAACATTAATATAAGTATCAAATTATGTAAAGTAAATTTCTTTTAACTTTTTTTTTTCAGTAAAAATATTTCTGCTTTCAAATATTAAATTTTAATCGCTTTTTATGTAATATTAAACGCTGCAATTGAACAGTTGTGCGATGTAAATTGAATTATTTTTAGATGGATTTACTCCTCCGTTTCTACCGTGATTCGAAAGGAGCTGCGGCCGTTGTAGCGTCGTACGTTTGTGTGAACGTTCCCGTGCGTTTTTCCCGCCTTCCATCTCGTGCCCCGCCACCGTCCCAATAGGATTCAAATCCTTGCACCTTGACCTATGCTTGTCGGTCGTTGGGAAATCGAAGATTGTTCACATTTTCCAGCCGATAGGAGCTAAACGAAACGGCAGTTCAGCTAATTGCGATAATTGCCATAGGTAAACATTGCCAGGAGTAAAAAAAAAAACAGGCAGCGCTCTCCGCGTGCTCAACCGAAGTCCTTGAATTAATTTTAAACCGAGACACTCTTAGAGCTATGGAGAGAGCTTCCATGGAATTTTTGTAAAATTTGAAACATATTTCCCGTATTTTTGTTGTTGTTGTTGTTGTCGCTTGTTGCAGGAAGAAAGCGCGGAGTTCTGGGAGCGCGCCCCACGAAAGGTTACGAGGGGTGACCTCCGATGACGCAAATCGAACCACATGTAGAGACGCTGACGTAACGTCGGGGCCGCAATTACGTCATGATGACTCATATATTTGTCATGTTCGGAGCCGTTGGTCGGAGAACAGACGAGGGCAGTGGGAGGCGAAGGAGGAGTAGGTATAACGACACCGAAAATAAAAATCTCTAAAGGACCAAAAAAAAAGAAACTGAATACGTATATATATTTATATTTAAATCATAGGTCTATGTCAAGCAAAAGCTTTCCTTTGGGCGACTTCATGAATTTGCTCTTGGATTCCGAATCGTAGACCAAGTCCCCACGCACATACGTTTTCAGGACTTTCCCTAAGACTTCTCTACCCATGTACGGATTTGCCTGTAACATCATTAATAATTTACACGTTTCCTCATGTAACCTTATAAAACTAACAACCTTATTTTTATGATAGATATCGGATTCATTTATGGTGCAAATAGCATGCGGATCCCAGACGACGAAATCCGCGTCGTAGTTTTCTTGTATCCTGCCTTTAGACCCATGCAACCCAACCAGCACGCTCGTAGCGCGGGACATATACTTGTTGATATGGAAAAAGGTGAATCCCCGTTGCTTCGCGCCAGTCCAAAACAACGATAGACCTTAAACACAAAAGATATAATTTCAGATAGAAACTATTTCACTTCCAAACCAAATTGGAGCGAAGCAATTCCGCCCCACGCCTTCATATAATCCCCGAAGTTTTCGTCATCTGGAGACAGCAGCTTCAAATCAGGAGTTGACGGGGAATGATCCGATACCACCATATCTATTTGCTTTTCCTTAAAGGCTAACCACAGATCTTCCTTAAATTTGAAAAGGAAACAGTTTCATATGCAAAGCCTTTAGCAATTATGTTACTCTGTTTTCTCTATTCCGAATCGGTGGACAACATTTATATTGCGTAGCTCTATCAGGAATCTCCTGCGAACATAATGTTAAATAATGGTGGCACGTTTCCGATGTTATCCTCAATCCCTTCAAACGAGCATCTTTGATTAACTTGGCAGTTTTAGCACTCGACACATGAACAATATGCAACATAATCCTAAAATAGTATTCATAATAACATTAAGATTTTCCATTATAATTTCTATTAATAACTTGTCGTATTTCAAGCCGATTTCGATTATTTTTTTAACAGCTTCAATTTCCATTTCCTCCGGTCTCGATTTCAGGAAAGTCTCGTACTTTTGCGGATTACCTAACGAAAGACGTTTCATCAAAATCCACTTTTAATGAATTTTTTCTATTACCTGTGCATGGCTCGCATATAGCTAATTCGGCGTGTATCTGCAATTAGATGATAATTTATATTTTAAAGAAAAGGCAGTTAGTTTTTTTTTTTGAAGACTCACAGCTAATGGCGCGTTGCTACCTTTTAACTTCTTCATAGCCAAATCGAGTTGGCTTTCATTGAGGCACTCGAACTCTTTGACGCCAGATGGACACATGAAACATTTGAAACCGACAACTCCCGCTTTAATCAATCCGTAAAATGCATCCTTAAAAGGAATTTAAAAATTGCATTTTCTATAGATAAACCAAAATTTATTTATTAATTATTTTACTGTATTATCTGGTACAACGCCTCCCCAGAAAGCCACATCAACGTGTATTATGTCTCTGGCTGCGTGTGCTTTCACCAATAAATTTTCAACATTCGTAGTAGGCGGAATGGAATTTCTGAAAATATTACATGTTAAAAATTGCAACTTTGCATATTTAAGTTTAAGAATGTCAACTCTTCAATACTTATTTCTGTTTATTTACAGAGGCATATCGCAAATGGTGGTGATGCCGCCTGCTGCAGCGGCTTTGGTAGCAGATTCGAAACCTTCCCATTCGGTTCTTCCGGGCTCGTTGATGTGTACATGGCTATCAACAATACCGGCCATCAGGAAATCATTTCCAAGAAGTATTTTCTATGAATTGAAAAGTTATGAATATGATGACCTTCGTATCGTGTTAGTATAAATACCCTGGTATTCTTCACAAAACATATTTCATCAGCTTCGATGACCTTTTCCACTTTACCATCCGGATCGACGAGGACAGCTCCATTCAACAAGGTATGCTCCAACACGATATTCTTGCATATGAAGAGACGGCTCATTTTCTCACTGCGCACTCGATTCACTTACTTGCAAGTCTGCTAGGAATATGCATATGTGTTGTATTTATTGCGAGAGATAAGATATGTACCGAGTTTGTTGACCTCCACAATTTAATCCTAATCGATTTATTGGTGCAAAAACTACCTTTTTTTTTCTGATTGAAAAACGAATCATTTAGGGTCATGCATTGCAGTTTAAGGAAATCAAATGAGATTAGATAATATAAAGTATGAAGAATTTATCACGAACACTTTTAATTATTTTCATTGCTAGGAACTTAATAAGACTCATGTTTCAATCAATTGTTGATTTTAATGGCGTTACATAAGCATTACATAATTAATAAATTTAAATGTTTAAAACACATTTAATAAAATACAATTTTCACATGTAATTATTTTTTTTGCTCTTTATGGAAGACGTTTGGAAGACAGTGTTTTCTAAATTAAATCGCATTATTTTGCTTGATTAATTTACTTTGTTTCTTTCAAGACTTGTCTGAAGGTGTCCAAGAAGATGTCGGCATGATGCTCTTGGAAGATGAGGGCTGGCCTCAAACGAATAGAGATTTCTCCGCATCCGCCGCTTTGGATACCCTTCTGCTTCATCCTGTTCACAAGATCATCTCTGAGCTTTGTGTTGGCCGCGTTCATGGCCAAGAATGTACCGCGTCCTCTGACGGAGTTAAGAAGAGCGGGGAATTCATTCTGGAGCTGCTCCAAACCACTCTTCAACTTCAATCCGGTCTTGTTTACAACGTCCAAGAGGTTTTGCTGCTTGACGACTTTGAGGATCTCCTCAACGATCAACATCTTTCCTGGATCTCCCATCCAAGTATTGAAGATCCTGTACGGAGTCGCCGGTTGCATTTCCAGGTTGTGGAAGTATCCACCGATTTGCATCTTCTTGCTGAAGGTGACGATATCTGGAGGAGTTTCCAGATTGAAGTGCTCGTGGCACCACATCTTTCCGGTGGGTCCACCGCCTGTTTGAACTTCATCGATCAGAAGACCGGCTCCGTGCTTCTTGGCGATTCTTTGTAGTTGTTGGAAGAACTCAGGAGAGGCTTCGTTGTCGCCACCTTCGGATTGGATGGGTTCGATGACGATACCAGCGACTGGGATTCCCTTCTTCTTGTAAGTTACGATCAGATCTTCGACTTCGGCTAAACATTTCTTATCCTCTTCAGCGTTCTCTCTAACGTTGTCCGCCAGAGGATACTTGTACTGCGGGAAATGGGCGATGGGCCAGTCGAAACTGGGAATGTCGAGCTTATGGATGGCTTTCGAGTGGGTGGTGGCTAACACTCCCAAAGTTCTACCATGGAAGGCGCCGTGGAAGGAGAGAATGGACAACTTTGGTGCACCTGGAGCTTGATTGATCATGCACGAGGCGTTTTCCTCTTCGGTGAAGCTAACGTTTTCTCCACGTTCGTTGCGGCGGTAAGCAATGAACAAGTTCTTGTAGGCGTTCTCGTTGGAACAAGATCCACACATCATCGTGGTGACGTTCGGTAAGTTTGGAGAAACGGCAAGTAAAACGTCCTTCAATTTCTTGGGCCAATCTTCTCCTGGGAATACGCCAAGCGCTGGGCGATTAATCAAAGTGCGCTACAAAGAAAAAAACATATTTCACAACCCATTTCTATTAACCATGCATTATCATTACCATATTCTTGTCGTTATTGAAAACCTTCAGAAGATTTGGGTGGTTGTAACCCAAAGGCATGGATGAGATTTGGGTGTACGCATCCAGCATAACATTGCCATCAGCATCGACGATGTAATTTCCCAAAGACTTTTCATAATCGGCGAAGAATTGAACGGCGTTGGATTGCTATTAACATGATAAAAAAATATATATATAATGAAACCCAAATTAACTTGTCATCATAGAGATAAACATTTTTTTATATCCTTTATTGACTCGACGAAAATAAAATTTCCGAGCAGATTATGTTAACAAGGCTTGATAAGACTTGTTTGTTATGTAATTTAAATGGCCATTTCGTAATTTATCACTAATTCAATGAAACCAATTGAATTCGCTTGAAAGATTATTATCCATTTGCTGACCTGAATAGCGCTCAGCTCTTTGATGAGTTCCTTCGACCTGGGTCCGGGAATCTCGGTTTTCACGCTGGGTCCATTAGGTTCTCCTGGCACCAAACTGGTCACAGTCCTTACAGCACCTAAATATAACAATTTCTTAATTTTGTCTTTTTGCAACAAATTTTACCAAACAAAGTCTTTTCACACATAAATATTAAACAGAAAATCATAGTTTCTTAACAAATTTGAATACTTTAAGCATGGTTGAGGAAATCCAAGGCCAAATTTTGCAACGTTTCCACGATGAATCCATGGCAACAACAAAAATACAACGTAAATATTGTATTTGGCCCAAGTAGGAATGTAAACAAAGATTTAGATAATATTTCGAGTGCTTATTACTTTTTTCAAGTCAATGTCATATCAATCGTTGCTTTATTGCATACTATATCAATTGAAGTAGTTGAGATCTCCATCAGAAAACCTTGACTTAACAATTTATTAATTATTCATAACAATCTTGTTCCACGGAAGTAGGTTACGTATTTATACACAGGTTATTATTACTACTTTACCGAAAAAAAATAATAGAAAACAAAACAGAAAACAAGTTAACATCAAATCCCGTTGGCTCTTCTTGACCTCAAGATTATTTTTTTGCTCTGTCGCTCGAATTTATTACAATTTATAAATAGGGAGTACAAACAACGAGATAAATGAAAGTAATCTAGCAGCATTAATATGAAATCGTGCAAGCAAATATTTACGTGTTAAGTAATTCGTGCATATACTTTTAATTGAAAACAAGAATGTTGTTGCTAGTTTATTGTATTTTTTTTTTGTAATGGGCGTGCGTAAAATCAATACATCTTTTGGATGTTAAGATGGGGGCGAGGTGTGATTGATGCCAAAAATTTACCCTTGTTGATGATGTTCTTGATGACCGACGGTTTCACCGCTTTCGACAGCATTTTTGCTATTGTGCGATTCGATTTGAATGCCACGGGAAAATCTGTACGTTTTCAACGGTATCAACAACAAAAATTGGTCGGTTCTATTTCTAAACTCGTCGATATTGAAATCCCAGTGGAACTGAGTTTGTGCTAAACGTATATTTTGAATTTATCGAGCGGTCGTATCTTTACGCACAGGCGCTCTCCGTCCCCTATCCTCATTGCTATCACTTTATTATCAATGTTTCCTACTTTTAGGAAGTATGCAACATTTCTTACAAAAAGTCCTTAGTGGAATTATGATACATATGAATATTTTTATTACCTTTTAAACATCCTGAATATTTCTATGAAGATATTTTTTATGTCATTACAATAAACTAACTAAGAAGAAAATACACATTAAAATAATAATAAACAGTTTAAATTTTAAGTACAGTGAAACTTCGCTTAACGAGCAAAATGAATTGTAAATGAAAAATGACTCGCTTAACGATTGATATGAATTTGATTACAGTTGGGGTCAACTTTTGTAAGCATTTGCTCTTTGGAAATTTGGGGATTTCAATATTGATTTACAATTAAATGAATAAACAAGATGGAAAGAAATGATTATTAATAAAAAATATTGATTGGAGTTTAGCTTCAGTTTCTGATTATTTCTATTTTTTCTTAAAGATAATCGTAGTCTGATCATTGCAAGATGATTTTGTATTGCCGACGATCTCTTTCCACCAACATTAAATGTATCCTTAACACAACTTTCTTTCACCTGGAAACATGCAGCATAAATAATTAAACTTTTAAAACGAAGCCACGGAAAAACATTCCGTTTTTCACGTATGGTTCAATCAATTTGATACTATTAAAAAGTAGTTATATTTGTGGGAGTTTTATGACCATGACCATTTGAATAAATAAACACAAATTGTGGTTTTATTCGTATTTTAAATATATTACATACATAGTTGTTATGTCTGTACAAGTTTTATGAACTCACCATTTGACTACTTCAGAAAGATTTCAAAAGACACACAAACTAATTGTATGGAAACAAAGCAATTTCGGTAAACATAAAGGATTTATTTCTTTCAATTAATTCTCGTTAATAACATGTATTTTTAAACAGGTTTAATGCAACTACGCAAAAAGTAAATATTATGCTTACAAAAGCTCTAAAAACAATAAATAAATATAATATTTTTAATATACTAACATAATGGTTTCATAGTAATCAATAATGCAGCGCCTTGTAAACTAATCTATCTGTAAACAAACAATGCATGGGTTCAGTTTCATCCCTATGAAATATTCTATCATCTTCATCAATTTCATCAAATCGCAAGAGTTCAAACATTCCCCTTCGTAATATCCCATTGATCATTAGTATAGCGTAATTCCTCTGCTGTTCGGACATCAGAGACAGCTTAAACAACCAATCTTTGGCATAATCCTCGGGATTTTTATCCACGACATCTACATCATCGCAACTTATGCGTTCAGGACGTTTCATGTCATCAAAGCAATTCTCTAAAGCCTTGAACAGGTGGATATTAGTTTCAGGTGACGGTCCTCTAGTCCATACAGCTGGAATACCCTGAAACACTTATTAATAAATAAACATATTATCTAACAAAATTTACGTGGATTAACAAACTTACACCACCTTCCCATATAACGTCGGAGTAAATTACATCCCTTAAAAATTTGTCGATGATCGGAAACCACTTCACATTACTAGTAACGTTCTTCGGTTCTTTATGGTGCCTCGAACGAGCCTCTATTTTGTGCAGTTCCAGAACGTAGATGCTCCGGATCATCTTGATTTTACACTTCAGCTCGTTTTCATCCAACCCTGGCATCTCCATGGCCTGTACCATGGAGTCGATCTCCAGATCTTTATGGTCAAAATTCTTGTAGCTCTCATTGCTTGGATTCCAAAGGCACTCAGCTTTCTCGTACAGTTTTATCAACTTGACTGTGTCACTCTCGGACCATTGTTGGTGGTAGTACATGTCTGCTCACTTGTTATTAGTAAAAGCAGTCACTTTTGTTCACTACGTTATTCGGTACATCGATCCAATTTCGTTTCCAAGGTAACTTAACCTGTCTAGCTAGGAAAGATGGCTGATGCTCCCGTTGGCATGACAGTAGATGGTTGCTTGGATACGAGTGCATCCGAGTTGCTACTCGGATCTGTACCTGCACAGTAGCAGTCGCAAACAGTTTATTTCAGATATATGTACATTTTTTATGTCTAGTACATTTGTAAATCAATAAACTGTATGCAATTTAAGCATTCAGTTTCGATTAAAAGATATTTCCCGCCGACATGACCCAATTACCCCACACTTTACAACATTTGTTCCAAACTTGCATACTAATTCAATAGCAACAATTTAAAACAAATTATAGCGTTTTTTGTTGTCTTAATTATGAAAATTTAAAAGAATAATTTATAACTCGTAGATTCTAACGTGTAACACTGGTGGCGTTATTTCTTGAGATTCTTGAAGTAGAAAGGATAATTGAGAAGAGAAAACATTCGCTGCGAAATACTATAATTTGAATTTGCATGCAAAATCGATAACAAAAAAATGCTTTTAATCGAAAAAATCTACTTTTTGTTGTAATTTGTTCTTATTTCCAATGAACTTATGACCTACTATCAATATTTACTACAACATATTAAATAAAATTGATTTAGTCTTCGATCTCAGAACATTTTTTCTTCGAAAACTCTTTCATCTGTTATAATACAATTTAAGCTATAGTAAGTTTTTTTCATCAACCAGAAATAGTTAAAAATATACGAAAAGTATTAATTTGTTCAATGATCAAAAAATCGGGTTAATGTTAATGAATGAAATGTTCGAATGAGCGTAATATGTTTATTATTTACAAATAAATGGTTTTATATTTATATACATTTATTTTTTTTAGAATATCTTCGTGTCATCTGTCTGTAACTTTGGGGAAATTCTCACGGCTTCCATGGAATCCCTCCTCGACCAGTTATCAAACAAGTTGTCCACTTGAGATCTGTGAAGTTCGTTGAACATGCCTTTTATCAAGACTTTATTAACAATTTCCTCTGCAGACAATCTCTGGTCATCCTCCATTCTTTTCAACTTCTCTGCCCAACCAAATATAATAGCGTCTAGCTTTGTGTTATTGTTAATAGTTTCAAAGCCATTTTCGCTCGTTGTCGCGTTTGGCCCAAGCATCTGTTGCTTCTCGATGTCTGAAACAATAGCGAAAACTTTCGCTTTGGCTATGTTCTGATGCAAACGTGAGAAACTGTTCAAAGTTGTTCGAATCAACGACAAGAAGCACGCAATTGATCCCGGAGTGTTAACAGAAAAACGTTTCGTTTCAATTTCAGGAGCGACGTGATCTTGATTCTCCAATATCATGTTCAATTCAACCTCTTGCACCGCGCTGAATATCTTAGTTTTCGCGATATTCATATGATACGGCGTGAAATTAATTAGAGTTGGAGTGATGGCATCGAGGAACGCGTCTATAACATCCAAATCTGTCGATTTCATCGTTGTCGTCGATACTTGTTTAACATCTTCTTCAGCTGCATCCGTTTCTAGCGTTTCATTGAGCACCGGAGCGTTCGCGTCATCGCTGACCTCTTCATCCTCGTCGTTCTCTTCAGCCGCGTTGACGAATTCAGCATCGTCTTGGTAATACTTCTTCAGGAAACTTATTTGCGCTTCGTATTTGTACAGTTTCTGTTTCGTTGAGACGGGCTGCACGGCCCTTCGTTTCAGCGATTTCCTATAGTTCTCTCGTAAACTATTCCATCGTGCTCTACACGCGTTCGCTGAATATTTCAAATTGTTTAATCTCTTTGGATTTGGATTACTTGACGCTACAGTACCTGAATCTCCCATTTCCCGGGAAATCTGTTTCCACAGATGTTCTTTGTGTTCGGTGTCGAAGAATTTGGGAAAACTTTGATCGTAGAGACAGGGATGCGCTTTTACTAATTCTATTAGTTTTTTCGTATCCATTTTTTTGTTGAAAATTATATGTAAATAATAATAATAAAATTTAAATAGACTAGGAAGAGCTGACAATGCCTCAACGGCACTCGCACTGACACTGAGAGCTGCTGTTTGTCGAGGATTTATTAACCGTCTGGTAATAGTCTAGTGATCAGTGACGTAACAATTGCAACCGATCAGAAACAATAATATTACGATGACCAAAATTTATACATAACAAAATCTAAACAAAAACAAAATTTACATCTAACTAATAAATATTTCATAATATCTTTCAATTAACAATTAACATCGACAGCTGCTTTTTAACGCTATATTTGTATATGAAATATAATTTTAAAGCAACAACAAAATCGACTACAACAATTATCATGTTTTTAAAAGAGATATAATTAAAAATATTGATGATACAAAGTATATTACTCAAAGAACGAACGACACTGTCTTCTTTATTGCGTGCGCATATTGCGAAACTCTTTCATTTTCAAACAAATACGAAATTCTCAAATCCAGTGAAATTATATAATCTATAAGCAATAAACAGAAACATAACTCGCAGAAGTTAACCAACATGTAGATCTTGTATGGGAGACGTATGCCATTTACTAAATTGATTAGATTGATGTTTCATAATTTGCAAAAGTTAAGCAACATGTAGATCTTGGATGGGAGACGTGTGCCTTTTACTAAATTGATCAGATTGATGTTTCATAATTTGCAAAAGTTAAGCAACACGTAGATATTGAATAGGAGAAGTGTGCA